GTTGATGCCTTTGAATCATGGTGTTGGAGAAGAATATTGAGTAGCTCGTGGACTGCCAGAAGAATGAACAAATCTGTCTCAGGAGAAGTGAAGCCAGAGTGCTCCTTGGAAGCGAGAATGGCCTCTAGACTCTGTCTCATCTACTTTGGTCGCGTTGTCAGAAGGGACCAGTCCCTGGAGAAGGATGTCATGCTTGGTAAAGTGGAGGGTCAGGGAAAAAGTGGAAGGCCCTAGACGAGATGGATTGACACAGAGGCTGCTATGATGGGCTCAGGTATAGCAATGATTGTGAGGTGGTGCAGGACCAGGCAGTGTTTTGTTCTGTTTTACATGGGGTCGCTATGAGTTGGAGTGAACTTGATAGCACCTATCAACAACAACAGCCCTCTAAACTGTGCGAAACGTAATTTTCTTGTCAAAGCCACTTGTGGTTTTCTGTCATAGCAGTACTAGATAACTGAGACACCCCGCTAGTCAGTGAGTGACCCAGGGAAAGAGGCCACACGGGGACACTTTATTTCTGGGACCAGATAAGAGTCACAGCCGCAGAGAAGGGAGCCCTGTGGAGACCGGTCATTCTGGGAACTGTCCTTAGGTTCCCAGCAGAGAGGCAGGGTCAATGCATGGTCAGAGAAGGGGCTTCTGACTCCCGGAGACACTGTGGGGGTGGCTGGAGAGATTAGCATCCTTCGGGAGTGACGGGGGCCTGGAAGGAGCGCTGGGGTCCCTACAGGAGAAGGGGCTTGCAGGGGTGGAGAGGGGATGATGGTGGCGGAGCTGGGTCCTGGGCGGACTCATGAGTTTGCTTGGATGGTGTCGTGGATCCACTTGGTGAAGTGGCAGAGCTTGGTGTAGACGCCGGGTTTGTTGGGCTTGCCACACGGGAAGTCTCCCCAAGACACAAGGCCATACAGGGAGCCATTGCAGATGACGGGGCCCCCGGAGTCACCCTGCGTGGGGGACAGAGGAAGGCATGGGGAGAGGCGGAGAGGTAGAGAGGTGGAAGGAAGGAGAGAGAAGGCTCCGAGAGAGATGGAGATGGACAAGGACAGCAAGAGACATGGACACAGAGGTGGAGAGCAGAGAGATGAAGGGACATGGAGGAGCCAGGGAAGGAGACAGAGAGACAGAGAGACAGAGAGGAAGGATGTCATTAATACTTCACCCAAGTCCCACCTTTAGAAACCTCCTTTGCCCTCCTCTACCCAACCCCTATAGGAGCTCTGCTGGCACAGTAGTTAAAGCACTGGGCTGCTATCCCACAGGTCGGTGGTTCGAACCCACCAGCTGCTCTGTAGGAGAAAGACGTGGTAGTCTGCTTCCAAAAAGATTGACAGCCTTGGAGACCCTGTGGTGCAGTTCCACTCTGTCCTCCAGGGGCGCTGTGAGTCAGAATCAACTCCAAGCAGTGGGTGTGGTTTGGGCTTTGCTTCTGTAAAGACTGACAGCCTTGGAGACCCTGTGGTGCAGTTCCACTCTGTCCTCTAGGGGCGCTGGGAGTCAGAATGGACTCCAGGGCAGTGGGTGTGGTTTGGGCTTTGCTTCTGTGAAGATTGACAGCCTTGGAGACCCTGTGGGCAGTTCCACTCTGTCCTCTA